CCCCCCCCCCCTCTCTCTCTCTCTCTCTCGCTCTCGCTCTCGCTCTCTCTCTGCCGCTCGCTCTGTTGCCTGTTTCTCAACAACTTGCTCCCTACCACAGCGCTTCGGCACGGAAATGATGTACAGGGACGTGACCTCGGTGGATCTGTCCCGCAGACCCTTCAGGGTATCGGTTCGGAAGCGTGAATTCTTCGCCAAGTAAGGCGGGTCCTCCCTTTCGCTGTTGCCCTTGTGGTAGACGTAAGTCGTAGTCGTTGTTGTTGTTGTTGCTGCTGCTGTTGCTGCTGTTGTTGCTGTTGTTGCTGATGCTGCGGCTGTTTGGTTGTTGCCGTATCACTACAATAGCGCTTGAGAAACCGGCCTGTGTTCCATGTTCGGTACCCTCCAATTTCCGAACCAAAGCCAAGACTATCCCGGTGAGGACTGGTTTCGGGCTCCTCAACAGGATTTCACAAACCACAGCGGTGGAACAGGGATCGCTAACGAACCGGAAGACGCTGGAATATCCCCTCGTCCCCCCGTACTAGGACAAAGAAAGCCGACGCCGCGGCTACGCGGTTGAACCAATCAGATCGGTTCTCGCCACCATGAGAGAATAGGCGACGAAGCGTAGAGGGGGGCGATGTGTGAATTAAGGGATCCTACGTGTTGTATGTACGCGGATCGATCAGATCGATCATCATTGCTACCGGAGCGGAGGCGATCTGGCTTGGGGCTGAGGGGGAAGAGCAGGTCAAGGGGAGGGGCGTCAGCACGTGCGCCACATGCGATGGCGCCTTCTACGAAGGCAAGGAGGTCAGTGTCCTCTACCCCCTCCCCCTCATCCTCTCTCTCTCTCTCTCTCTCTCTCTCTCTCTCTCACTCTCTTTCTCGCTCTCTGACTTTGCCTTTTATCTCTGTGTCTCGATCACTCCCTGTCCTCTTTCCGCCCCCCTGTGTGTGTGTGTTACGTGGTTGCTCAGCGCTCCGTCCGTTTCCTCTTTGCCTCTTCCGGTTGTCAACATTATCATGCGTCGTGTTTCTCCTGGCCTTCGTTGAGCCGCCAATACCAACTCCCCTCTCCCCCGCATTTCCGCAGTTTCGCACGGTTTATTGTGCTTTCCGTGTCGCGTGTGCTCGCCGCTCGTCACCTCCCCCCTCGTTAGGTTATCCCTCACCTTGCTGTGTTTTCAACTTCGGATAGTCGAGAAAAACGCTTCGCTGCTCTCATGAAAATGTTTTTTTTTTTCTCCACATCTGCTTTGATACATGACTAAAAGCGTTCGTACCCATCCTCTTGCTTTATTCGTTTCGTCGAAGTAACAGGTTGTGGTCGTAGGCGGGGGCGATAGCGCGATGGAAGAAGCTCTTTTTCTTACTAAGTTCGCCTCGAAGGTTTGTTGTGAAAGAAACCCTCCATTTTGTATTTATTTTTTGTCTTTTTTATGTGTGTGCGTGCCGTCGAGCGGAGGGGATGCAAGAGACAAAGCTTGTCTCTTGTCGCTAGCCACGGATCCACCGTCGTGCTCCTACTGTACCAGTTTGTCTAGGATCCAACAACCGCGTGCGGTATTTCCTAGAACGCTTTTTTTTTGTCCCCGTGGGATGTTCTGGATACAAGGAGCGAGCGTGTCAAGTCAATCGATCAAACGCCTTTTACTTTGTTCTCCCTGGCCGCTTCGACTATGACTTGAAAGCGTGTCCTTTACGTGATATACATGTTGTACAGGGACACCGTAGGTTAGTGCCCATGTACCGAATTCTGCGGGTTCTGTGTTTTTTTTTCTGGTCTTGGGTGCCACACGAGGCCAGAGGACGGTCATCATAATCAAAAAGGTCATCAACAATGATACAACAACATCCGCCAACAGCAACACAACCCCCGCCCGCCTACCGTTCCGCTAGGTAACCATTGTGCACCGAAGGGACGGCTTTCGGTCTAGTAGGATCATGCTGGAGCGAGTGAAGGACAACCCCAAGATTCATCTCAAGCTGCACCGTACGGTCAAGAAGTGAGACCCACGTGCTGTGTTGTTTGCTGTTTGTTTGTTTTTTTGCTTCTGTTGTTTTGTTGTTTTGTTGTTGATGTTGGTGATTATTGTCGTTGTTGTATTTTGTGTTGTTTTGGGTGTGGTTATTTGTCGTTGCCGCTGCTGTTGTTGTTGTTGTGTATGTCGGGGGGTTTTGCGGCCGCTGTTTTGTTTTGAAACGGGATAACTGCGTGCGCGCTCTCTGTGGCGTCGCGTTTGTGTATCTGAGACGGTCTCCCCCACTACAAGGCCGTACGTACAGCCACGAAACAACCTCAGCGCGGCACGAAGATGTGGTTATAAACACAGCGTCGGGGTACCTAAATTTGTCGCGGCACCTAGTCTTCCTTAGCGACATGGAACCCGTATACTACACCAAGTGTTTCCCAGCCCGCTCTGCTGAGTACGTTGTGAAAACCTGGGCCTTGTGCGATAGAACGCTGTCCCACCCCGCACGAGGTTGTCTGTACCATACCATATTTGTGTCTAGTGTCATCGTCTTTGTGTGTGTATACATTCGGTTCGAATGTTCTCGGACGCGAAAGGTGTGGGTGGGATATTGTCTGTTATTTTGCGTGCAAAATCCCAAGGGCTTTTTGTCCTCTTGTGTAACTGGTAAGCACCAACTTGCCTTGGGCTACATAGGAGAGAGAGACACACGCAGAAAGAGAGAGAGAAGGCAGAGAGAAAGAGAGAGAAAGAGAGAGAGAGTGAGAGACAGGGGCGGGGGGGATAGAGAGAGAGAAGAGGGAGAGGGAGACAGACAGACAGACAGATAAGACTAACAGAGGGACAAATACAGAAAGAGACGTAAGATCCCTCGCCCTGACTGTTGTAATCCCGATCTTGTTACATATCGCAGGTGGGTTTCCGAAGGAGGCGATCTCTCCGGAGCCGAGCTAGAAGACCCGCGAGGGCAGGACGCGGTGGAACTCCTGCCGTGCAGCGGGGCGTTCCTAGCCATAGGCCACAAGCCGATGACAAAGTTTTTACACAGCATCAGCAGCAGCAGCGGTGGTGGACCAGCTGAAGCCAAGGAGAGTAGTAGCAGTAGCGTGGTAGAGCTAGACGAGGACGGCTTTGTGGTGCACAAGCAGCACACCATGACCAGCGTCGAAGGCGTGTTTGCGTGCGGGGACGTGGTGGATCGTCGTTACCGGCAGGCGATAAGCGCCGCGGGGATGGGGTGCCAGGCGGCGATAGACTGCGAGAGGTGGCTCGCGGAGGAGGAAGGGGGGGGGGCGTGATTTTTTTTTTTTTTCGAACTTTGTTTTGCCCCGGAGTTGTTATTATTGTTGTGTGTGATGAGGCGTCTTTCTACACACGGCACCAAGACGCATGTATGAGTACGATTGGCCTTGAGTTTATATCTATCTTCGAGAGAGAAAAACATTTGAGAAAAAAACATTTGTGGCACGCAGTTCGCTGATTGGTCAAACAAACCTGCGGCGGAATTTGAAAATTCCAAAAGAAACAGGCACGACCCAACATCCTTGTTTGGCGGATGGCGTTGTCCACGGTGAAATCGAGAATGGCACCTCAGGAAATCTTGGGAGCATAGTGTCTTCTGATGGTGATCTTTCTGCAGAATCATCATCTTGAATGACTACGAACGGGGATGGATGGAGATGGATCCGCCGGCCGGCCGATATCCACGTGTAGTTTTGTGTGGGAATCACCGAAGGAGTTGTCCTGGTCGAGTTTATGTAGACTACACATGCCGGACGGAGAATGTTGATGTTTCTATGCTACCTCTCGCCCACCATCATCCTTGCGTTGACTGCCTCTCGCCCATCATCATCCTTGCGTTGACTGCCCGTCGTCCTTTCAAAATACAGTATGTTGTGCTCTGGCACGCAGTTTGTATGAGAGAGACTTCAGGGTGATGCGTACGTCTCGATCCGCCGAGAGACACAAAAAAAAAGAAACGCCACAAGAAAGTTCGACACGAGATTGATTTTTTGAAAATTGATCCCAGCGGCTGGCTGATCGTACCTCTCTCTGCTGGGGAGCCCCAACCCTATTGAAAATGCCCCGGGTTGACTGCTTTTTCCCTACTGGTCGTCCCTAGACAACCGCGACAACGTGACACCCCCCCCCCCCTCAGATTGGCGGTCCCTTCCAGCTTCCACGTAAAAATATTACCACAGTAGTAGCGCCCCGGGGAGGGATGGATTATCAATCATGGGTTCTATTAGTTGTGGTAAACCTTTGCTGGTGGCGGCCAAAAAAGAAAAAAAAACACTTTCTGAGAGGCTTGTTGTGTAGAGCGGGTCTGCTCAAGGACCGATACTTTCCTCAGGTACCGCCAGATGTCGACGTTCTCCCTGGCAACAACACCAGCTGCATCATCAGCAGTAGTTTACATCTCGTTTGACCCGTCTTTCCAATGGTGGGGAGCGAAATGAGACGTGCCTAGACTAAATGACTAATTCTTCAACTAGCGCTTCGAGCGCAGTTTCGGACCCTCCCTGCGTGTACGCGGCGGTTGGGCGACAACGACGTGCTGCGCCCTCCGCGGTCGTCGCGACAACAAAACACACAAGAGCAAACAGAAAACAGGGCGGACCTCTCTACGCTAAAGCTTTTCCCGCCTCTACGACCGACTAAAGTCAACCGCCTTCTCTTCCCGGCCCGGATAACTGCTTGCTGTTGTCCAGAGGCGTTTTGGGCGCTTGAGGAAATCGATGTCAACACTAAAAAAAAACAGCAAGGGAAGGGATTTTGTGGGGACGCAGTTGAAAGTCTTGGATTGTATTTTTTTCAACCCACGTTTTTTTTTCACCATTTAGAAAACTGCGTGCCACAAGTCCGTTTCTCTCTGGGTCCCCACAAACCCTTTCTCGCCTGCTGCCTTGTTATCGACACCAAACTGTATCACCCCTACACGCGTCGGAGGCGACGATGCCCTTGGAAGCGGCGTGCCTTCTGCGTGGTGTGCCCGTTTGCTGCTCGCATCCGCGGGTCATCATCTCGCCCGCAGCAGCTCCCCGCAGGGGGCGCAAACTCTTCCGCCCCCTTCCCGCATCCAACACTATCCTCTCTCCCAACCAATGCTAACTCTCGGGGCACTCGGGGGGGGGGGGGGGGGGTTTGGCAAAAAGGGCCTCCTGAAAAAAATATTGACCAAAACCCCAAAAAAAAACAAAAAGCCCGGGCGCCCGGGGGGTGTGGAAAACCCCCCCCTCCCCCCCCCCCCTATAA